AAATTTTATCCAAATCTATCAAACCGTTAGGGCTGTACATCTATTTAAATTTTGTTATAATCACTATAAAATTATTACCTATCAAAAAAATCTTCATTAATAAGTTTTATTATATGACCACATATAATTTTGATTTATATAGTATATTGCATACCCAATGTATCACGTGCATGCCTGATCAACATAAAAGTTGATCTGACATGTTTTTGTATTTTCTAGTTCTTACTTTCATTTTATTCTCATTCTGTTTCTTTTGTTGCAATTTGTAGTTGCTGTTGATTTCGCATCGCTTAGGGAATTGTTCTTTAGAGTTGTCATTTCAGGTTTTTTTCTTTTACTTTCATGTTTTTTTTGCTTTTTGCAACTATTGTTGCTTTCGCGTCACTTTTAGAGTCGTCGTAGATTTTGGAGTTGCCATAGCTTTGGTATCGTTCCTGGTACCTTTTTTTTTGGTGGTGTATTTACCTGATTACTATAAAGCTGATCAGGCTTGTTTTTTTTTTTTTTGTTAGTCATACTAACCTTCATTATGTTTTTTCTTTCGGTTTGCTTTTTGTAACTCTTGTTGCTTTTGCGTCGCTTTTGGAGTTGTCATAGATTTTGGTGTATCACTGTCTCAGCAATTTTCGCCGTTTTTGGAGTTGCCATAGCTTTGGTATCATTCCTGGTGCTTTTTTTTTAGGCTGTGTATTTACCTGATTACTATAAAGTTGATCAGACTTGTTTTTTTTTTTTTTTTGTTAGATTCATACTAACCTTCGTTATGTTTTTCTCTTTCAGTTTGCTTTTTGCAACTCTTGTTGCTTTCGTGTCGCTTTTGGAGTCGTCGTAGATTTTGGTGTATTGCTGTCTCAGTAATTTTCGTCACTTTTGGAGTTGCCGTAGCTCTGGTATCGTTCCTGGTACCTTTTTTTTGGCGGTGTATTTACCTGATCACTATAAAGCTGATCAGGCTTGTTTTTTTTTTTTGTTAGATTCATACTAACCTTCATTATGTTTTTTCTTTCGGTTTGCTTTTTGTAACTCTTGTTGCTTTCGTGTCGCTTTTGGAGTCATCATGGATTTTGGTGTATCACTGTCTCAGCAATTTTTGCTGTTTTTAGAGTTGCCATAGCTTTGGTATCATTCCTGGTGCTTTTTTTTTAGGCGGTATATTTACCTGATCACTATAAAGTTAATCAGGCTTGTTTGTTTGTTTTTTTTGTTAGATTCATACTAACCTTCGTTATGTTTTTTTTCTTTCGTTTTGCTTTTTGTAACTCTTGTTGCTTTCACGTCGCTTTTGGAGTCATTGTGGATTTTGGTGTATTGCTGTTTCAGTAATTTTTGTCGCTTTTGAAGTTGCCATAGCTTTGGTATCATTCCTGGTACCTTTTTCGCTATTGTCTTTGGAGTCACCAATTCCAGAATCAATGCTTTGGTTTGTCCTTTTGATGTCTTTCATGCCATTCAATATTTGTTACTTATGTTTTTTGTCGCTTTTAGAGTCATAACAGCTTTTGATATATCGTCGTTTTTGGTTGGAGTTGTTGTCTTGGTGTCTTTAGGTAGTTGTAATTAAACCTGCATTTCGGTATTATGCATTAGTTAGCTTTGTTGTCCTTTTTTTGGTGTTTCCTTTAGAGTCATCGCTAAAGTCGTCATTTTTGGTGTCTTTCGTTGGTTTCATTATTTTGCTTAAGTCGGCTATTTTAAAGTTTGTTTCTGGAATATGTTGAAGGTAGAGTTTGATATTAAGTTTGTAGTTTAGAGCTAGGATTAGAGTTCTAAAGATTCT